CACTTTATGTACATATTCGTCAAATAATTATCTTATTCCAAGCTAGAAACTTTAATGTCAATCTAGGCTTTTCCTTTAATTCTTCTGAAGAGAGTCTCCTTGATTTTCTCTCTGCATCCATTGTATTAAATATTGCACTTACTGTTCTGAGATGAGTAAGTAAATTACAAATTTCATACCTGAAATGGTATTTAATCTCAAAAACCATTTGCCTTAGAAAGAGAGGTAGGTATAGGGCATTTTTCTCATACAGTGTATAGCAGGCAGGGGGATACTAAAGTTTTTCTGCATGAAGTGTCCACAGTGGGCAAAGATAAGAGACCATGCTAACTTGTTCTGAAAGTCTCTCCCCACTTTCTGAAAGCTCAGTCTTCACCAGCCTTCGTCTCAAACAGTACTTGCCCTAGGCGAGCACTTACTTGTGGTTTGAGGACTGCCAGCCCTAATTATGTTTTTCCTTTGTAGGGACTGGCCGTGTCCATCCAACCACAATGGAGTTGATTTGCTTGCAAATTGTGCCATCCATCCATCCCCAAATGTTGTGTCCAGACAAAACTCTTCATTTATTAATCTTCATCTCTTTGGATACTGGACGTTTTATCTTTTGAACATTCCCATCATTACTAGAAAAAAATCCACGGTCTGACATAGCATTTCCCCATATTATCACACCCTCACTTAGATCTGTTGCGATTTTTACCACCTTTAGGAGCAGTACTTAATGCACTGAGAGATTGTCCTCTATCTAGATAGCACAGCGCCACATACACCTTCTCAGTGTTGGCTGTCAGACAAATTGTGTTTGGCCATGTCTGTGGGAGCAAACTAACCATCTTTTTTTTTTTATGCATTAATTTTATGGTGGCCACTTTTTTCTTAGACTGCATTGCCTTTGCTTCCCCCAAGAGGTCCCCAAGAGGTTTCCTGGTACCCTTTCATGACTGCGTGACCACAGATCCCCCACATCTCTCTTCACAGATGAAAATTCTGCAAGACAGAAGCAGCTCACACAGTCTTAGCTATTCAGAATAAATGATTGTCCATATGTTCCCAAACTGTCCCTGGCTGATAGGGAAATAACGACA